GGCTGGTCCCAGCTGCTTCACCCGGCTGGTCCCAGTTGCCCCACAGCCAGTCCGGCTGGTCCCAGCTGCCCCACAGCCAGTCCGGCTGGTCCCAGCTGCCCCACCCGGCTGGTCCCAGCTGCCCCACAGCCGGGAGAGCCGCGCTAACGCTGCCCATTCTCTCTCCAGCGCACCTGCTGTCCCTCCTCCGCCTCGGCGTCCTCCTGGGCCGTGCCATGTGCCGGTGGCACCGCCGGCGCCCGGGCCGCCCCCTGGGCCGGCAGCGAGCGGAGCTGGGGGCGGCTCTGCCCGCGGCCACGGCGCCGGTGCCCATCCAGCAGCACGGCGAGGAGCTGACGGGAGCGCCCCGAACTCCTCTGCCCCGAGCGGAGCCCGCTGGTCCCCGGGCTCCCCGCCGCGCTCCGGGCAGCGCCCCCGGCTCCGCTGCGACCTCTGCTACTCCCTGCCCGAGGCCACCCTCACTGTCACCATCCTCGGCGTGTCGCACCTGCCCCGGGGCCACCAGGGCTCCCGCGGCAAGGTGTCCCCGGTGCGGCTGTCCCGCCCGTGTCCGTGCGCCGCGGGAGCCGCGCCGGTGCCGGTGCCGGTGCCGGTGCCGGTGCCGGTGCCGGTGCCGGTGCCGGTGCCGGTGCCGGTGCCGGTGCCGGTGCCGGTTCGGCCCGTGCGGCCCGGAGGAGCTGGGCAGCTGCACCCTGCGCTTTGCTGTCTGCGCCGGCTCACGGAGCCTCCAGGATTCCTCCGTGGGCGAGGTCCTGCTCCCCTGCGCCTCCTGGGACCCCCGCGCCCCCTCCAGCTACTCCTGGGAGCTGGCGAGCACCAAACCGAGCTCAGGCAGGCCAGCACGGCAGCGGTGTCAGTGCTTGGGCTGAGATTTGATCGATCTCAGAGCTCGGGAACTCCACGGGCGGAGGCAGAGCCTCCTGCAAGCAGCACCGGGAGCCCCGGGTGGGTCCCTGGCAGAGCCTCCCTCAGCCGGGGCTTGGCACCTCATCCTCAGCGGGTGGAAGGGGCAAACAGAGCTGGCAGCACCCCTGCAGCGCTGCTGGGCACCAAACCCACCGGGCTGCCTCCTTCCTGCCCAGCCCGGACCCTGCTGGGAGAGGAACATGGCTGGGCTGGAAGGGATGGAGCTGGAAGGGTTGGATGAGGTTGGAGCTGGAAGGGTTGGATGAGGTTGGAGCTAGAAGGACACAATGAGGTTGGAGCTGGAAGGGCTGGATGAGGTCGGAGCTGGAAGGACACAATGAGGGTGGAGCTGGAAGGACACAATGATTTCGGAGCTGGAAGGACACAATGAGGTCAGAGCTGGAAGGACACGATGATTTCGGAGCTGGAAGGACACGATGAGGTCGGAGCTGGAAGGACACAATGAGGTTGGAGCTGGAAGGGTTGGATGAGGTCGGAGCTGGAAGGACACAATGATTTCGGAGCTGGAAGGACACAATGAGGTCGGAGCTGGAAGGACACAATGAGGTCGGAGCTGGAAGGACACAATGAGGTTGGAGCTGGAAGGACACAATGAGGTCGGAGCTGGAAGGACACAATGAGGTCGGAGCTGGAAGGACACGATGATTTCGGAGCTGGAAGGGCACGATGAGGTTGGAGCTGGAAGGACACGATGATTTCGGAGCTGGAAGGCCACGATGAGGCTGGAGGAGGTCTCACAGTGTCCCCTGCCCTCTCCTCGCCTCCCAGCACTGCAGTGCTCCCAGCCTGGGCTGCAGCGTGTTCTCCTGGCCCCCAGGCCCCTGGCCCAGCTCCTGCTGCAGCGCCAGGCTCCGGCCGGGCACATCCAGGTGCTGCTGCACAGGGCAGAGGCCCTGGGCTGCCTCTCCCGCGTGCCGGGCACCCCAGGTAGGGCACGGGGACCGGAACGTGCCCGGGTGGGCACCGGGAACAGCTTCCCCTCCTTTTGCTTGGCAGATTCTCTTATTCCCTCTCAAACCTCTCTCTTCCAAGCACGGGGGAGGGTTGGAATGAGATGATCTTTGGGGCTCCTTCCAACCCAAACCACTCCATGATTCTACCACTGGATGGAAACGAGCACTGGGAGCATAACAGAGATCTAGGGATCTCCAAGATGGCCCCAAAGAGCTTGAAATATATTTATTTATGGTCCAAAATTAGCATGTGGCTTTCTGTCCTGCTGGCGGTTGTCACCTCTGGCTCTCCTTGCTCTCTGGGATGTGAGCTGAGGACTTTGGAGGTCCCTGCTCTCCAGAAGGGAGGGCCAGATGAAACCTCAGGAGCTCTGTGCTCTCCCCACAGCTCCACAGGGCTCCAAGGGGTCCTGCAGCCCCCCAGGCCCCACGTAAGAGTTGCCAGCCTCCCTCGCTGGCCGGTGAGGTGACCTGACTCAGGAGGTGACCAGGCTCAGGAGGTGACCAGGCTCAGGAGGTGACAAGGCTGAGGAGGTGACCAGCTCAGGAGGTGACCAGCTCAGGAGGTGACCCAGCTCAGGACGTGACCAGGCTGAGGAGGTGACCATGGCTCAGGAGGTGACCAGGCTGAGGAGGTGACCTGGCTCAGGAGGTGACCAGGCTCAGGAGGTGACCAGCTCAGGAGGTGACCTGGCTCAGGAGGTGACCAGGCTGAGGAGGTGACCAGGCTCAGGAGGTGACCCACCTCAGGAGGTGACCCACCTCAGGAGGTGACCAGGCTGAGGAGGTGACCAGCTCAGGAGGTGACCAGGCTGAGGAGGTGACCAGGCTGAGGAGGTGACGAGGTGGCCACCACGGTGGTGGCATCTCCTGCCCCTTCCAGCCCACCTGGTGATAAAGGAGTCAATCGGCATTTTTAATTGATTGCTGGCCCTAATGAGTGCTTGATAAATTAATGAAGGGGTTGGGAATGACCATGTGTGTGGAGCTCTCTCTCCTGTCCATGGGCCACCACAAAGAAGACCACGGGAGGGTCACCACAGGGAGGAAGGCCGTGGCCAAGGCTGTCACTGTGGGGGTCATCACAGTGAGGATGACCACGGCGAGGAAGGCCCTGTGGTGAGGAAGATGTGATGAGGAAGACCACGGTGAGGCAGATGAAGAAGGGAAGACCATGCTGAGGGAGAGGCTGGACATGGTGAAGGCAGACTCTGGAGACGAAGGTCATGGTGAGGCAGACTGTGAGGAGGAAGACCCTGGCGAGGAAGGCTGTGTGGAAGGTGAGGATGGCCATGGAGAGGAAGGCTGTGGTGAGGGTGGCCCTGACCACCACAGTGAGTCAGAGCACGGGGAGGAAGGCATGGTGCTGAGGGTGAGGATGGCCATGGTGAGGATGGCCATGGTGAGGATGACCATGGTGAGGATGACCATGGTGAGGATGGCCATGGCGAGGATGACCATGGTGAGGAAGCTGTGCTGAGGGTGAGGCTGGCCATGGTGAGGATGGCCATGGTGAGGATGGCCATGGTGAGGATGACCATGGTGAGGATGACCATGGTGAGGATGGCCATGGTGAGGATGGCCATGGTGAGAAAGCCGTGCTGAGGGTGAGGATAGTGGTGGTGATGGATGGCCATGCTGAGGCTGGCCTTGGTGAGCAGTCCCACGGGAAGGAAGCTGTGCTGAAGGTGAGGATGGTGGTGATGATGGATGACCATGGTGAGGATGATCAAGGTGAAGATGACCATGGTGAGGCTGGCCGTGGTCAGGAAGCCATGCTGAGGCAATGGCCATAGTGAGGATGGCCGTGGTAAGGATGACCATGGTGAGGAGGCCATGGTGAGGATGACCATGGTGAGGACGGCCATGGTGAGGAAGCCGTGATGAGGTGAGGATGACCATGGTGAGGAAGCCGTGCTGAGGTGGGGCTGGCCATGGTGAGGATGACCATGGTGAAGATGTCCATGCTGAGGAAGCCGTGCTGAGGTGGGGCTGGCCATGGTGAGGATGACCATGGTGAGGCTGGCCATGGTAAGGAAGCTGCGCTGAGGTGAGGCTGGCCGTGGTGAGGATGAGCATGGTGAGGAAGCCGTGCTGAGGTGAGGATGACCATGATGAGGATGACCATGGTGAGGAAGCCGTGCTGAGGTGAGGATGGCCATGGTGAGGATGGCCATGGTGAGGATGACCATGGTGAGGAAGCCGTGCTGAGGTGAGGATGACCATGCTGAGGAAGCTGTGCTGAGGCGGGGCTGGCCATGGTGAGGATGACCATGGTGAGGAAGCCGCGCTGAGGCGGGGCTGGCCATGGTGAGGATGACCATGGTGAGGAAGCCATGCTGAGGTGGGGCTGGCCATGGTGAGGAAGCTGTGCTGAGGTGAGGATGGCCATGGTGAGGATGACCATGGTGAGGAAGCTGTGCTGAAGTGAGGATGACCATGGTGAGGATGACCATGCTGAGGATGACCATGGTGAGGCTGGCCGTGCTGAGGTGAGGATGACCATGGTGAGGATGACCATGGTGAGGAAGCCGTGCTGAGGTGGGGCTGGCCATGCTGAGGATGACCATGGTGAGGATGACGATGGTGAAGATGTCCATGCTGAGGAAGCCGTGCTGAGGTGGGGCTGGCCATGGTGAGGAAGCTGCGCTGAGGTGAGGCTGGCCGCGGTGAGGATGAGCATGGTGAGGAAGCCGTGCTGAGGTGAGGCTGGCCGTGCTGAGCATGACCATGCTGAGGAAGCCGTGCTGAGGTGAGGATGGCTGTGCTGAGGATGACCATGGTGAGGATGACCATGCTGAGGAAGCCGTGCTGAGCGAGCCGCGCCGGGGCGGGCTGGCCGCGGTGAGCGGTCCCGTGCCGGGGCTGAGCGCGGCGGCGATGCAGGCCCGGCCGGAGCGCGGGCTCGGCGCCCCGCGGCTGCCCGCCCCGCCCGGCCCGGCACGGCCCGGCCCGGCCCGGCGCGGCGGGGCGGGGCGGGTCTGACCCGGCCGGGAAGCGGAAGCGGCGCTCGGGGCCGCGGGCCGGGCCGCGGCCGCGGTGGCGGCGGTGAGGCCGGGGGCGGCGGGCGCGGGGCCGGTAACGGCCGGGCCGGGCCGGGCCGGGCCGGGCCGGGGCTGAGCGCCGCGCCGTTCCCGCAGATGCATCACTGCAGGAGGCTGCGGTGCCCCGAGCAGGACGGCGAGCCGGGGCACCGCTGGAAGCGGCGGCGCTCGCGGAGCCGGGAGGACGAGGCCAGGCTGCGGTACCCGCCCCGCCGGGACCCGGCCCGCAGGTCGCGCTCCAGGAGGTGAGAGCGCTGCCCCTGACCCCTGTGCTGGGCTGCCCCCAAAACTGCCGACCTGGGCTGCCCCTGACCCCGAGAGCGCTGCCCCTGAACCCCGAGAGCGCTGCCCCTGACCCCGAGAGCGCTGCCCCAGACCCCGAGAGCGCTGCCCCTGAACCCCGAGAGCGCTGCCCCTGACCCCTGTGCTGGGCTGCCCCCCAAAACTGCCGACCTGGGCTGCCCCCGACCCCGAGAGCGCTGCCCCTAAAAGCACCGTGCTGAGCTTACCCTAAAACTGCCGTGCAGAGCTGCCCCCAAAACTGCCGTGCTGAGCTCGGCTCCTGGCTGTGGACCAGCTTTAAATCCCGGGCATGGAAGGGAAGGGTTTACTTGTGTGTGTGTGTGCCTGTGTGTGTGTGTCTGTCTGTCTGTGCGTGTCTGTGTGTGTGCCTGTGTGTCTGTGTGTCTGTCTGTGTGTGTGTCTATCTCTGTGTGTGTGTGTCTGTGTCTGTCTGTCTATGTCTGCATGTGTGTGTGTGTTTGTGCGTGTCTGTCTGTGCGTGTCTGTGTGTGTGCCTGTCTGTCTGTCTGTGTGTGTGTGTCTGTGTGTCTGTCTGTGTGTGTGTGTGTGTCTGTGTGTCTGTGTGTCTGTGTGTGTGTCTCTGTGTGTGTGTGTGTGTCTGTCTGTGTGTGTCTCTGTGTGTGTGCCTGTCTCTGTGTGTGTCTGTCTCTGTCTGTCTGTCTGTCTCTGTGTGTATGTGTGTCTGTCTGTCTGTCTGTGTCTGTCTGTCTGTCTGTCTGTGTGTGCGCTCTCCCTGCGGCGCTGAAGTTCTCCCAAAGCCGCGGCGTCAAGGAGGGAGCAGCCTGCGCTGGAATCACGTTTCCATGCTGCATTACAGGCTGTCCTGCCAGGATCCCTGCCAGGATTAAAATCACATTTAAAGCCACCGCGCTCCTCCCTCGCCTCAGACAGGATCCCAGCTGAGGGATCCCGCCGCTGGCCGATCTCTCTGCCTTGCTGTGGGGTTTTACCTTTGCTCCTCGCTTTTCCAGCGCTCCCACGGGGACAGCTGGGAGCTGGGAGCAGGACGAGGCCTCAGGGAGGTTCCGGAGCAGAGGCTGGAGCGGCTGCACTGCGCTGCTGCTGCTGGGGCTGCTGTGGTTCCACTGGTTGGACTGGGCAGGTGCAGCCAGGCAGGAGCTGAGCTCATCTTTAAATTCCTCAAATGCTCCCCAGATTAATTTCTCTCCCCAGCCTGGCTTTTGTTTACGTGAAGGAGGTGAATTGTGAAATAGAGCTGGTGCGCGCAGCGAGCTTTTCCTTTTTTATTTCCATCTGATGGGTCATTTGGAACAGATTTGGATGAAAGTAGGGTTGGATGAAAACAGCCTTGTCTCTTCTGTCTCAGCCTCTTTGAGGAGACCTGAGTGCTCCGGGTCATTATTTCTGCTTGCACCCCAGGGAGTGTCTGGGCCGGTGCTGGGCAGAGCTGTGGGGTTGTGTTCTGGGTACTTCAGCAGTCAGCGAGAGCCACGGCTGCCCTGGCACAGTCTGGAGTTGGGACCCACTCTGGGATGCCCCCACAAATGCCCCATGGAGCTGCCAGCAGTGTCCTGGTTGCTGACGGGGCAGGGAGGTGCAGACAGCAGAAATTCCCATTCCCAGGCTGAAAGGCTCGGCTGGCAAAGCTGTTGCTGGGTGATGGCACCAGCCTGGCCCAGGGTTATCTCTGGGGAGCCAGAGCGCTGCTTTTATTTCAGATTGCAACATCTTCTACCTGAAACACAGCTCCTTTCTCAAGGGGGTGTGAAGCAAGCCTCCAGTGCAGTCTAGTGGGGAAGGCACTTGTATTTTGGAGGCAGAAGCAGGGAGAGCTGCTCTCATCCCTGAGGTGCCCAAAACCTCGCGCGTGTCACCCGTGTGTCGGTGCCTGCACCGCTGAGCTTGGTCCTGACCCCTCCTGATGCACAGTTTGGCCGTGTGTCCTGGGAGGTTGTTGCTCGAGGGGCAGGAGCTTGGGGACAGATTTCCCTTCTGCCTCTTGCTGATGATCCGTGGGGCTGCTCTGTGCGTGCACACCGAGGCTTTGGTGCCCTGGGACTTCCTGTGCCCCTGGGGTGACAACCAGAGCCCTGCTGCTGCTCCTCGTTTGGTTAAGAACTAATGAGACACCTCCTCGAGGGAGGAGGAACGGTGACAAACACCAGTGTGCCGTGGCACACAGGTGGAATCATGGAGTGTTGAGGGGCTGGAAGGGACCTTAAGCTCACCCAGTGCCACCCCCTGCTATGGGCAGGGACACCTTCCACTGTCCCAGGCTGCTCCAAGCTCTGTCCAACCCAGCTTGGACACTCCAGAGGTGGGATCCACAGCAAGGCAGGCAGCCCAGCTGGAGCTCTCTGAGGGTGGTTTTCCCCCCACACCTTAAAATGTGGGAATGCCTCGCTGTTTTCCCTCCAGAGCTTCTCCTCGCTGGCCAGAGTTTGAGGTGCAGAAAGATTTGAAGCTCCTGGCACAGGGAGTGGGAGCAGGAGGATTTCTCCGTGGTGACTGCTGATGGGACCCAGGGGGACAGCAGGGAGCTGTGTCAGGGTGGGCATTAGGAAAAGGGGCTTTTCTCCAGAGAATGACCCGATTCTTTCCCCGAATTGGATACAAAACAATCTGTTAGTCCCTGTCGCTGTTGAGGCAGGACGGGAATGAGAAGACTGACTCAGAAGGCTGCTGAGAGTAAAACTCCGATTTATTTAAAATACACTGCTCTTTTATACAGAGCTTTGCCGGGATCAAATCCATTGGTTCTGAAGTGAAAACAACCCATACCATTGGTGCAGAGTGCTTGACGCACAGCGATAGAAATTAACTATGAACAAGGTGAAAAACAAGAGAGATAAAGAATTATTTACATTCTTTCCCAGGCTTTTGCCTGGCTAGTAACTCTCAGTTTCTTTCTTTGAATCTGAAACCCACAAGTTCCAGTGTAGGCTGAGCAAAGCTTATCACCATCAATACTCCAGTAGTGTCGGAGCGGTTCAGCGATTCCGTGCAGGAAAGCACACCGGCTGCGCCGGGCACAGGGTGGGATGGCCGGGGCGTCCCTCGGGGCTCCGCGGTGGCGCTGCTGCCGTTCCGAGGGTCGGGCTGCAGCACGCCCAGCCCTGACCCGCGGGGCGCTGTGTGTGCCGCTGTATTCTGTTGTAGCCCGGAGCGGATGCCGTACCCGCGGCGGTGCCGGCGGGACAGCGGTGCCGGCCGGCCGGAGGAGCGCAGCCCGTCGCTGGCCGCGGAGTGGTGCCCGGCGCGGCCGCGGGGCTGGCGGCGCTGCCGCGGCCGGCAGCAGCAGCAGCAGCAGCAGCAGCAGCAGCAGCAGCGGCAGCAGCAGCAGCGGCAGCAGCAGCAGCAGCAGCAGCAGCGGCGGCCCCGCCGGGAGCAGCAGCAGCAGCAGCAGCAGCAGCAGCGGCGGCCCCGCCGGGAGCAGCAGCGCTGCCGCAGGCGCCGCAGCAGGTCGTGGAGCAGCGCCTCCTCGGTGAGTAGCATCCCCCTGCGAGCTCGGCCGGTAACTGTTCTTGCCTCCCTCCAGCTCCGGGCGCCCCGGGTGAGTACCGCCAACCCCGCTGCTGGCTTTGTTGCGGGGTCCCCCCGATCTGTGTGGTGCTCAGCGGGGAGAGCTGGGCGCTCTTGGCGTTTGCCGGGCCGGCCCCTGTAGGTTAATCCCTGAGGGAGCCGTGTTCCTTAGGGCTGGGAAGGGATCAGGGAGAGCTTCCAGTGGCACTCATGTGATGCTGACGAGGGAGAACCTGGGCCCGGGGCCAGCCCTGCCCCGCTTTATCCCTGCCCAGGGATTCGCTTCTGCCTGCGGCAGCTGCTGCTTTCAGGGGGGTTTGGTGCTCAGCATTCCTCGGTTGGCTTCGTGCCTGGATCCCCTTCCGGGTGGGATGGCTCAGCCCGGCTCTCCGGAGCTGTTTTTGTGCCCTGTCAGTTCTCGGAGAGAGCCCTGCCTTCCGAGGGGACACGTGTGTCCTCTTGCCCCTGCCCACTTGGATTTCAGCTTCCCGCACGCTTCGGCCTGAAGTGCAGCATTCCTTCCATGGATTAACTGGGAATGGCTGGAGCTGGGTGGGGGGCTGGTCCCAGGCATGCCCTGGAAGAGGTGAGAGTGTCAGACCCAGCGCTTCAGCTCCTCCCTCCTGTAAGGAGCGCTCCCCTCCCGCCCAAAGTGTCACCCCAGCTGAGAGACGGGCTCTGATCCCGGCAGCTGGATAACCTGCAGGGCTGGGAACTTCTGAGCTCCCCCTTCTGATTCCTCTCCAGCCACTTTTGGAATGTGGGTGCTGAGGGAGCCGGGGCGGTGCTGGAAGCACAGGGGATGTGCGGTGGTGACACCGTGCAGCTCTGGGCTGGCAGGAGCTCCGTCCTCCACCAGACACCTCCCAGCTGCCCCAGCTCTCCTCCCACCTTCTCCTCTGATTTTTTAGGGAGTTTTGATCTTAGCTCATTATTTTGGACCTGCTGGGGTGGGGGGCGAGTGGCACAGAAGGGAAGCTTAGGCATGGAAATGTCAAAGTTTCCGTGAATTCCTTTGGCTGCAGGGATTGTAACTATTTTGACAGCAGACTAGCACAAGGTGAGGAATGAGGACAGCTCGCTTTGCGGACCCCAGGTCCCTGCAGGAACCTTGGGCTGGTTTTCCAGTAGAAGCTTGCCAGCAGCAGGGTGTGAGTGTCACCTCAGCCCTTGCCTGAAGTGTTCCCTGGCAATCACTTTCCCTGTCCTGTTCCTAAAGCTCTCCCACTTTCAAAAAGGCCGACGTGCCCCAGCGGGCACACGGATTTAGGATGGGCCTGGCAGAAAGCTTCCCTTCAGGAGGGGAAGGGCTGCTTCCCAGCCAGGGCAGGACACAGCTCTGGGCAGAGGGAAAAAAACCTGTGACTGTGGCTCCTACTGGGCAGCCTGTCCAAAGGGGACGTTCTGCTGGCCAGGGCCTTCTCCCCTCCCTCCATGGGGAACAGAGGGTTCCTCCTGCAGCTTCCCACCCTGGAAGAGGCATTTCCCTGCCCCCGAGGCCGTAGCTAACGAGTGAGCGCAGTTTCCTTGCCGTACCTGCAGCTGTTGATGACTTTTCTGTTTTGAAGTTCGTTCTGTGTCTTGACGTGTCCCTTGCAATGTCCCTGTCGTTATATATGCTGCGTGCCTTATGAAATGCCGGCATCTGGACAATGCACCCGCCCACCCACCGGCGGCCCTGTCGTCTCCTCTGAACCTCTGAACGACCTCCCTGTGGCCATCCCGACCTCTCTATGGCCATCCCGACCTCTCTGTGGCCATCCTGACCGTCCTGTGGCCGTCCCGGGGCGGGGAGTGCAGAGGAGCCACCAGAGCAGTAAGCGCAGCAGGAGCGTGGAGGATGACAAGGAAGGTCACCTGGTGTGCAGGATCGGCGATTGGCTTCAGGAGCGATGTACAGCCACCTTTCGTAAAACTTTCCTTTCCCCCGCCCCGGGTTTTGTTTAGCGAGCAGTAACTTGCCCGAGGCAGAGCTGAGTTGTAAAGGGTGTAGCAGCCACAGGTTGTTTTGTTGGCTCTGAGGTTTTGGTGGTGTGAGGTGGCAGGAGCCCGGCTCTGCCCGAGCCCCCCGGCTCACCCCGCTCCTGTTTTCCCTCCTAGATGAGATCGTGGGCAGCCTCGGCGAGGGCACTTTTGGAAAAGTGGTGGAGTGCGTGGACCACGCCAGGTGGGCTCCTCTCCCTGCATCTGTCCCTGGAGCAAACCTCAGCCCCCTCCAGAATTTACAGCCTGGTGTGTTAAGAGAAGCATCTCCTCTCCTCTCCTCTCCTCTCCTCTCCTCTCCTCTCCTCTCCTCTCCTCTCCTCTCCTCTCCTCTCCGAATATTAGAATATTTTAATATTCTAGTATAGAATAGAATATCTTAATAATCTAATATGCTATTCTGTTTTAGAATATTAGACTATTCTAAGAATAGTCGAATGTTCTAATATTCTAGAATATTCCATTCTTAGAATAGAATAGAGGAATATCCTGAGCTGGGACTCACACCAGTCATGCAGGTGCAGCTCCTGGCACGGCACCCCAGCAATCCCAGCTGTGCACCCCTGAAAAC